CATTTTCAATAATGCACGTTTTTTATGCGTTATTGTCAATAATGCATTCGCAGAATTCGTTGTTGGCAGGTAACAAAAACACACGTGATCGATTTTGACCAATATATTAAGTAGATATATTAAGTAGCCGCAATCCATCGTAACCGTTCAATAATAAAATTAACAACGATTGATATGTACTTTAGTCATCACTTAATAGTTAAAACGAAAATGTTAGTTAAATTTTAACAGTTAAGCTTAAGACAATCAAAGTCGAGAGATGAAAAAGATTAGATGTGATAAATAAACTGGGATAAAGAATAGCTTTCGGCCTCCCATGGGCGGCTCATTATAATATACGACTTAATGAAAAGGCCCAACAAAAGAGGGAGAGACGACTTTATTGAAAATGCCATTTTCGCAATTTTGGAGTGGCCTCCCCCGCAAATTTTGGAGTGGCCTCCCCCAAAAATTTATCAAGCTTGTTACGTCGTTGATTTAATTCGTTATTGTCAACATGTAAATTAAACCTATACAGGTCACTACAGCAAGGTCGTATGGGATCTGATCAATGCAAAGATTTGGGTGTGGTTGCCGACCAATACGACGCAGTTATTTGTGTGGGCGTGTTTACTGCTGGTCACGTGAAAGGCAAGGGATTGGATGATGTTGTTCACGTGGTGAAACCTGGAGGCTTGGCGAGTATTGGTGTGAATGGCAATGCTGCAGACGATCCTCGATATCAATATCATGAAAAAATGAACCAACTTACTGTGGAGGGAAAATGGAAATTGATCTCTAAATATTACGAACAGCATTATCTTAAAGAAGGCAGTGCTTGGTTCTATGTCTATCAAATATTGTAAAACTGTTTGTGAATTTGTTTGCTAATAAATATTAGTGTGACTCGTGTAAGAGATTGTACTTGATGAGACTGTACTTGATGAGACTGTACTTGACTGATGCACTTAGCCAGACCGGTTACATTATAATATTGCACCGTCTGTGTCAGTGTAGGCAGTGCCAAGAATAAGAAAGCTTCAGAGTGATACGGGTGCACCTACCTAAGGCCCTTCGCTCGAAACGTCAAAGCTCTCCTACCTTATGTTTTTTAGTTTTATCCCTACCAATCCAAAGTTTTCTCGATTACAGTATAACTTGGACAGCTTGTCATTTGCCCTCAGGCGTGTTAGCAAAGCAAGGGATTTCCACGGAATATTGCCGAGTGAACAAAATTTTTTACTTATTTCGCAAATTTTTATCACTTACAACATCTTCAGGGGTCGGGTTGGTCGAAAGCTGATTATATTAATCCTAGGTTAACTCGGTGAGCTTCATATATATCTGGAAAAATGAAACCAAGATGGCGGCCATTGACGTCCAATAGTTCCGAAGGTTGTAAACAGCTTTTATACCATTTCCCCCTATTTTCCAAAGTTTTGAATTAAACAGAAGTGCAAACCAAAACAGCGTGTTAAATTCTAACCCAGGGTTAGCCCTAGTCCAGCTTTGAACTGTAAACTGTAAACTAAAAATACATACATGCAGCAATCCCTGGCCTTTATAAGCAAATAGCTATAAATTTCCCAATAACTATGATTTTCTTGATATATAACACCTTATTATGGTAATTTATTGGCAGATTATGATCAGGTGATATTAAGTAAAATTACCCAGTTTACTGAGCGTGCAACGAAACGCGTATTTTTGTACTAAACATTTTGTTCCATTGCACCGTTTGGTTTTCATTATATTATAAGTAATAGCATGGCTTGGGGGAAATTAGTGATTAAATGACCCCGTAACCCGCAAATCTGCCGAGGGTAAGGGGTCATTTAATCACTAATCTCCCGAAAAGCCATACTATTAGTTTGTAATAGCATAGTTGAGGGCCCATTTAAAAATGGACAAACATCCCCTACTTGCAATCAGCGAATTTAAGCTAAAACATTTACTTCTTTGCTTGTGGGATGTAAAAGCTTGTTGCACATGCGCACTTTTTAAGCTTTAATCGGTTACGCATGCGCAATCTATCATTTAACGTACCACAACAAAAACGATAAATATATTCGTATAAAATCGGAGACTGCACGAGGGTAATTTAAATGATGCAACAACTCAGGGATCGGATGATAGACTATTGATAAACTGAAATTCAGGCCCAAATTTTAAATAGGGCCTGAGTCGCCTGACATAAAACCTGTCTAGACCGTGGGATGCCCACATGACATGTTATTTTTAGACACAGCCATGCAATATGATTGACAAGTGTTGTAGATTTCATTTTCATTGCACAAAAAATTTATATTCTCATGAACATGTGCGCAGAGTGTGCATTTCGCTTTTTAATTAAACTTAAAAATTCAAGGTACTTTTATATAATTAAGAGTTCAGTTTCTCTCAGCAAATTAAGAGTTCAGTTTCTCTCAGCAAACAAAGATTTAATTAGTCAGTTCTGTACACGGCTTTGTAATGTTCTCGTGTATACACTCTATTCTATATCCCGTACAAAACTACAATGTCATCAATATCAATCCGTCCTGTCACATGACCCATGTGACTTGTCACATGACCAATGCTACATCCCTCCCTTACTCTAGCTAGCAAACCTATTAATGTAAAATGTCTTAACAATATCAAAAAACAAATAAACTAATGTATACTATACTCTACAAGTCCATACCAATATGTTTGTCTTGATAATACTAACTTATGATCCTATGAATCCTAATTATCTATTCATAAATATTCTGACCGTATCTTTGG